AAAAATTTTTACCTTGAAAGCCCATGTAATCACATTTCCTTCAATACTGCCTTGCAAGTTGAAATTTAGCATTTTTTTTCCCCTTCCTACTATACCTATCTTTACTTTGTTGGAATACGATAGGCTAAGTTTGTGTACCAAAATTTGTAACCTCATTTTTGAGGCACTCAATTATTAATGCTAAAATATAAATATAAATCTCTATAGCAGATATAAGGCAACTGCAGTTTACTTTTACTTTGCTTTTGCCTTTATTTATGCCCTCAAATTACATTTACAGAGATAGTAGCTTATTTTCAACCTGTGTTCAACAAAGATGGGGCTTCCCTGGTGGCTCAGATGGTAAAGAATCCACCTGCAGTGTAGAAGACCTGGGTTCGATCCCTGGGTCAGAAAGATCCCCTAGAGAAGGGAATGGCTGGGAAATCCCATGGACAGAGGACCCTGGCAGTCTGTAGCTCTTTGGGTCACAAGAGTCGGACATGACTGAGTGACTAACACTTTTCAACAAAAATACCACAGGTTTGTCAAAAGCAATTCAGGTTATTTCATTTAGGAGCAGTGTTCACAACTTTACCAAAAATACCTAGTCTCCCTGTTGCCCTGCTTCTCTTTCTAGCCTCTGAATACATTGTTGCTCACAGCATTTTGTCTCTTGCCTGTTTTGCATCTCCCTGGCAGTATGCTGGCCTTTTTTTTTTTTTTTTTACTACATTCTATAAATTGGTTCATCTGTATGTAGTTCCTATTAGAGCTTTTATTGGATAATGTTTAACGGCTCGTCTGAGACCTATAATCTTCTCCTTATTACTCTTCCCCTGTTCTTCCCCTCCAAATTATGAGTTTCTTTAGAGTCTCGTCCCCTCCCTAACTGTTTACACTTCTGCTCCTGGTGAATTCTGGTGCTCTCACCCAGTTATTCGCCTCTTACAGTACTGACTCTACCCCTTTCTCTGCCCTGAGATTCTCTTATCTCTTTTTTTAAAAATCACAGTTTGATCCCTGACTTCAACTCAGATGGTTACTAAAAGTTCAAGAGATATTGTGTGGCCTTTCTTAGAAAATACATTCTGATACATGCCTTTTTTCTGTGTATCAGTTAGCACTTGGTTCAACTGCTTAAAACAGAAAACCAAAATTACAGAACTCTAAACAACAAATAAAGAGGTTTATTTTTCTCCTTGTGTAAAAGAACTCCATTGGCAGGTGGTTTAGCCTTGGTAGAGTATCTCTATAGTCATCATAAACTCCTTCTGTCTTTCTGCTTAACCATTCTTGGTGAGTGGCTGCTTCTCCTAGCTTTGCTTGCAGGCTGCTAAGATAGCTACCGCAGCTTCAGCCATCACACCTATGTTCCCGGAAGCAGTGAGGAGGAATGGAGAGGGAAAAGGGGCTGAGACAACCAACTTTAACAAAATTTTCTAGAAGTCCTATCCAGTGATTTCCAGCTAAATCTCATGGATAACTTGGCACATTGCTTCACCACAAACACTAAAGAAGTTACTGAGAAAGAAGAGGAGAAAGGCTATTGGTTAAGCAATCAATAGTGCTTGCCACTCTTAGACATTGTGCATCTATTGCTTTTGCTCCACACTTGAGGCAGAACTTCTGTTTGAGGCTGGCAGGCTCCTGAGGCCAGACGTGGAGCATGGAGCTCTTTTTGGGGAAACTTCTAACCTTATCTGGAGCTCCCAGGATTTTACAGCATGTGATATCATTTTTAGGGACCTACACCAACAGCTAATGCTCAGCTCCTTTTCCAGGGTTAATGCCCCTTCTCAAAGAGGAACTTTTCCTGAACGCTACTTGTGAGAGACATGAATCACTCGAATTATCATGTGTTCCTTCAAAGATGTTGCTCATTCGATAAGCTTGATGCCTTTTATTCCCTTGGGGCTTAAATTCTGTGACTCAAAGCCAAGATTTCAGAACTCAGAAAATATTTTCTCTCTGTGAAAGCTCAGGTCTTACAATTTGATGTTTTGGTTTTTAACATGTATCTTGCGTTGACCAAAATACAGTCACAAACTAAAAGTAGAGAGTTATTTTATTTGGTGGGAATGTTTAGGACTCTGAGTCTGAGAGGCAGGATCTCAGTAGCTCTGAGAAAACCTTTACAAGGAAGCAGAAGGGGAAGTCCTTCTATACTCAAGTTTGCAACAAAGGAAACAGGCAGTCTTAACATCCAAGATCAGATATCAAGTTAAGGAATTTAGCATTCTGTGTATGGGAAGATGCAAGCCTCTGGGCTCATTGAATTGATCCCTTTCATATGTACCTCAGCTATCTGGGGCCAATCTTGTTTCCTTGTTCATATTGCTTCCTGCATTCTCCCAGCTCCTCAGCAATCACCACAGGGGGTGGTGTGTGGCAGCAGTTTCCAGAGCCCTCAAGCCCATTTGGAGGCCAGAAATCGCTGAAGGTTGTGACACTTCTTGTTTATTAATATGGCAGGGGATAGTTTCATTTCATACTTACCATGGACTTTAAAAATCAATTCAGGAAAGAAATTCTTTCAGTAAATCACTCGATTCTTTTCACTATCCTCAGTGTAGACAATTTAGGTAGAAAGCGCTCAGTGTTGCCTGAATGGGTGAGCTAGCTACAAGGAACCTCGGGTAAAATCTGAAACTGTTATCTACTACATAAGCATCAGTAGTACAAGCCAGAAAGTGAAATTGTTAATTGCTCAGTCGTGTCTGACTCTGTGCAAGCCCGTGGACTGTAGCCTGCCAGGCTCCTCTGTCCATTCTCTAGGCAAAAATACTGGAGTGGGTTGCCTATGCCCTGCGCCAGGGGATCTTCCAAACTGAAGGATTGAGCCTGGGTCTCCTGCATTGCAGGCAGATTCTTTACCATCTGAACTACCTGGGAAGCCCTACAATCCAGAAGAGCTTTAGAGGTTAGGAACTGAAGTAGTTAGGAAGTGCAAAGAACTAAGAATTCACTGAGGGCGATCAGGGAAGATGCCTTAGTACAGGGACTCTTAAGTTTATCTTGAAACAAGACTCTGAAGTCAGAAAAGAGAAAGAGCGGTATTTCAGACAGAGGGAAACAGCGTCCACTAGAAAGGGGCCTGTTTGGATGAGTTGTTGTTGCTCAGTTGCTGTGACGTGTCCTACTCCTTGTGACCCCATGGACTGCAGCACGCCAGGCTTCCCTCTCCTTCACTCTCTCCTGGAGTTCGCTCAAACTCGTGTCCATTGAGTCGGTGATGCCATCCAACCATCTCACCCTCTGTCACCCTCTTCTCCTCCTGCCCTCAATCTTTTCCAGCTTCAGGGTCTTTTCCAGTGAGTCGGCTCTTCACACCAGGTGGCCGAAGGATTGGAGCTTCAGCTTCAGCATCAGTCGTTTCAGTGAATATTCAGGGTTGGTTTCCTTAAGATTGATTGGTTTGATCTCTTGTTGTCCAAGGGACTCTCAAGAGACTTCTCCAGCACCACCGCTTGAAAGCATCAGATCTTCAATGATTCTTTATGGCAAGAATACTGGAGTGGGTTGCCATGCCCTGCGCCAGGGGATCTTCCCGACCCAGGGATTGAACCCGGGTCTCCTGCATTGCAGGTGGATTTGTTGCCATCTGAGTCACTAGGGAAGCCCTTGGATGAGTTGTACAAAATATAAAAGTACTTTGCATGGCACTGTCGTCAGCCAGCAGAAACTTATTAAACATCAACTCTGTCCGAGTTATAGACTAAGCCTAAAGCTCCAAAGGTGAAAAGACCTTATCTCTGACTTTTAGGAGTTAGGAGTCTCATTATGGAAAATTGATAAACAAATAAGTTATAGTATAACTTCACCAGTGCTATCTTGGTGGATGGATAAATGAATTCATTTAACCTGTATTTACTGAAGTAAGTATCTCCTTCCCCCCATGTGACAAGCCCTGGAGTGACATACCCTGCAGACAAAGAGGGAAGGAAAATCAGACGGAGTCCCTGGGCTCCCTGAACTACTAGGAATGAAAGAGGACCTCTAACGGCCTAGGCTGAACGCTTATGTTTGTGTCCGGTTGCAAAATCAGGACTATAAATATGAAATTTTGCTGTGAATATTTAAAAACAACATAATAATTGCTGTCTTTGAAAAGGACTTTAACAGCTTTCTTGAGAAAATAAAACAGTACTATGCACATTACAACATTTTTAGACTTTCCTTTGCTGGCCTAACACTGAGAATTCAAATGAGAGGCTTATACAGTGAGCACATAGAAGGGTGGGAGAAATTTGAAGACCCATTTTGGATGTTTCCTTTCTTTTTAAAAACTATCCACTTGTATTATACTATTGGTAAACACAATGTTTCCTTTCTTCCTTGTTAAAAGCAAAGCATCTCAATATTGGCTGCACTATATATCTCATCATACTTGCCTTTTGTTTCTGAATGTAATAATTAACATGAATTTGTTGAAGGCCTCAAATATTCTTAAACCAGTGCTACATCTGCAACATGAACCTTACTTTGTTCACTTAACAAAGGGGTTTATGGAGTGATATGCCATACAGCCTTGAAAGTGAAAAGCAAAGGGTTAGTCCTCAGTCATGTCCGACTCTGTCCCCGTGGAGTATAATCTGCCAGGCTCCTCTGTCCATGGAATTTTCCAGGCAGGAATACTGGAGTGGGTTGCCATTCTCTTCTCCAGGGGATCTTGCCAGTGGGTATGTCACCAAGAAGTTCCTGTTGTCAAGAAGAACCAACTTGATTTCATTTTAGAGAAAGTTGCAGTTAGATTGGTCTGATTAGCACAGACCCATCAATGTTGGCAGGGCTTCTCCAGTGACTCAGCGGTAAAAAATATGTCTGCTGGTTCTATTCCTGGATCAGGAAGATCCCCTGGAGAAGGAAATGGCAAACAACTCCAGTGTTCTTGCCTGGGAAATCCCATGGACAGAGGAGCCTGGCAGGCTACAGTCCATGGGGTCACAAAAGAGTTAGACACGACTTAGTGACTGAACACACATCCATCAGTGTTAATGCTGAATTCAACTGTCTTGCAGGTCCTTCATTCCTTCACCGATGCCATTTTTGACGAGTGGATGAAAAGATTCAATCCCCCTGCAGATGCCTGGCCTCAGGAGCTGGCACCCATTGGTCACAATCGGATGTATAACATGGTTCCTTTCTTCCCTCCAGTTACTAATGAGGAACTCTTTTTAACCGCAGACCAACTTGGCTACAGTTATGCCATTGATCTGCCAGGTAATGAATGCAACTTCTAAACGTGTGATTCATTAATCTTCTAAAGAGGCTTTCTTTTTTTTTTTTTCCTTTCTTTTTCTTCTAAATCAAGACCTTAAATTGAAGTGCTCAGATCTAGTTAAGTTTATTGGCAATTTTTTAGAGTACGTATAGTTACAAAATGAGCCTTTAAACTACCAATTGAACATCAGAAAAGGGACTGTTGGATGACTCTTATTTTAGAAAATTGAAAGTTGTTAAGAGAACTTATTTCAGGGCAAGTATCTACAACTGCACCTGATCTGACAATTGAAAACCATCCATGGTTTGAAATGCCTAACCAATAAAATCAAAATGCACTAGCCACAGATGGATGAGGACTAGCAGAACCTTTTAGAGATCTTTACTTAAAAGCAAGGCTGAGTTTAAGGTGAGGCAAATGCAGCACTTGCCTCAGGCACAAAGTTCAAAGTGAAGCCAAAAATTCAGTAATTGAGCTAAGTAATAATATAATGCAATATTATCAAAAACCCAAATTAATACCAAAAAAAAAAAAAATCCATGGTGAATACAGTATTAAAAATTTAAAGCCAGGCTGTTGTTTGTTTATACCTCTGTGTTAGTCTGTAAGTAGGCCATTTATTTTTTTCCCAGTTAACCCACACCACCTCTGCCTGATGGGTTTGTAAAGATGACAATGACCTGCCAGTAGATTGGGCTGTGTGGGACTTCATGAGTACTTTTTTAAATGAACTTTTTGAAATCATGTTTTTATTCTTTTTTTAAAAATAATTTTACTTATTTACTTTTGGCTGTGCTGGGTCTTTGTTGCTTTGTGAGGGCTTTCTCTTGCTGCAGTGAGCGATGGCCGCTCTTGGATGCGGTGTTCAGGCTTCTCACTGCAGTGGCTTTTCTTGTTGTGGAGTACGGGCTCTCGGTGCGTGGGCATCAGTAGTTGTAGCACTCTGGCTCAGGAGATATGGCATGTGGAGTCCAGAGTATGGGCTCAGTAATCGTGGCACATGCGCGTAGCTGAGCAGGCACGTGGAATCTTCCCGGACCAGGGATCGAACCCATGTCCCCTGCATTAGAAGGTGGATTCCTAATCACTGTACCACCAGGGAAGTCCTGAAGTCATGTTTTTAAGTTGTAGATTTTTTATTAGCTTTTCCACTTGGTTCAAAATACAGAAAGATATTTTGATAAATGTAGGGGCATACTTTTTTTTTTTTTAATTTCCCCAGGCCCCAGTATAGCTCCATGTGCCATTTAAAGAACCTGCAGACAGGTTGATGAAGGAAAAGTAAAACACTAAAAAAAAAAATCTCGTAATTTGTCAAGAAACTGAAAAACTCACAGTCTATGTGCTGGTGGCATTTTCCCATTAATGCCTATTTTGTCTCCTCTAAATCTCAGCCTGCAAAGTAATTAAGACCATTTCTGAGGTCACATCTCTCTCTCTCTCTTCATGTCTTACTCCCTCCCTGCCCCCTTCTCTCTCAACTTTCAAAACCTTTCAGATCCTGGACTCTGTCCTCTGTTTTTCCTTCCAGTTCTACATCTACTGCAGTTTGTTCTCTTTACTGATTTGAAGTTTCTCTTCTTTGGGCAGCTGAGGTGAGAATGTCTCTTTGAAACTTTTCTCGTTTCTCTGGGATTGAACATAATAATAATCAGAAAGTTTGGCATGTACTTCTGACCATGCTTCCATGTCCTCTGACACTGGTCAATTAACAGCTATAACCCGAGAGTCTAAACATGACCAGAATGCATTAACTCATTAGAAGATACAAATCACATTCTTTTATTGGTTTAACAAAAATTTATATACATTCTGAGGAGACATAACTATAACTCAAGATTGAATAAGGGAGAGAGGGATTTGGGAAAGGAGCTGGGTCCTGAACTGGATTAAAGAGATGGAGGGACTTCCCTGGGGGTCCAGTGGTTGACTCCATGCTTCCAATGCAGGGGTCTCAGGTTCAATCCCTGGTCAGGGAACTAAGATCCCACATGCTGTGCTATGTGGTCAAAAAAAGAAAAAAAGTTTTTTAAAAAAGAGATGGTAGGTTTTAGGTAGGTTGGAGGAAAGAAAGGGGCATTTTAGGTTGAAGACAGGCAGGGAACAGGACTGTAAAAGGCACATGTAGTCCATATAGAGAACCGTGAGAAGAAAGCCTGGCTGTAGTGAAAGGCTTGAGTAATTAACTGTGAATTAAGGTTGGATCTGAGAGAAGGCCTGATTACAAGGGACTGTAAAGGTCGGGCAGAAACCACAATAAGATCCCACTGTATACCCATTAGGATGGCTGCTACCAAGAAAGCAGAAGATAACAAGTGTTGATGAGAATGTGGAGAAAAAGGAATCCTCATGCATTGCTGGTGGGAATGTTAGCATAAGCTCTGTGAAAAGCAATATGGTAGCTCCTCAAAAAATTAAACCCAGAATTACCATGCGATCTAACAATTCTGCTTCTGGGCATAGACCCCAAAGAATTGTAAGCAAGTACTCCAACAGATATTTGTACACCTCTATTCATAGCAGCGTTATTCACAACAGGCACAAGGTGGAAGCAGTAGGAGGGAGATGTAAGAGGGAAGGGATATATGTGTGCCTATGGCTTATTCACATTGATGTGTGGCAGAAATCAACACACTATTGTAAAGCAGTTATCCTCCAATTAAAAATAAATAATTTTTTAAAAGGTGGGAGCAACCCAAGTGTCCACTGACAGATAAGCAAAATGACAACAAATAAAATATGGTCCATACATACAATGGAATATTATTCAGCCTTAAAAAGGAAGTCCTGACACATGCTGTAACATGGGTGAATCTTGAAGACATGCTAAGTTAAATAAACCACTCACAAAAGAATAAAACCTATATGATTCCACTTATATGGGGCAACTATAGTAGTCAGATACATAGAGACAGAAAGAGTGGTTGCTTGTTGCTAGAGCGTGGGAAGGGGTGGAGGTCTAGAGAATTATTATTTCAATTTTGCAGGGAAAAAAAGTTCTTTGGATGAATAGTGGTGATGAATGCACAATGATGTGAATGTATTTAATGTCACAGAACTTAAAAATGGTTAAGGTGATAAAATATATGTCATGTATGTTTTCCCACATTAAAAAAAATAAGTAATTTGTTTAAAAAGCTAGGTAGAGGAGTTTGGACAATAATAAAGACAATCATTTTTGGCTCTTGAACAAAGAAATGACAGAATAAAAACCTGTATTTTAAGAAGACGAGGATGGCAATTGTTGCAGGAAAAGACAAATTAAAATCCTTTTGGAGAAACCCCATCAGAATGAGTCAGGGTCCTCTGTGGGCCTGGAAAGAAAGGACTAGAAGGACATTCTTAAATTTAGAGAAGTGTAGAGTACAGAAAAACTGCACTTCAGAAAAATTGATTTTAAGAACAACTGACCAAGGATAATTTTTAAGGAAATGACAAATAGGCATAAATACATTAGAAATGAAATCCATTAATTTTGTGGAAAAGTGCTTATAAAATATATTTGAATAGAGGATTGCATTTATCATGTGATGATTCCGATTTCATTCACAACTATTTAAATGGGTCCAAATTTCTTCTACTCTTGCTCTTGAATGACCCCTGTTATAATCTCTAGTCTCATCTGTCTTACTCACTGATCACTCCATAAAAAAGGTAGAGACAACAGCAGAATTTCTAGACCTGACTGTTGTATATTTTGCAGTTCCCCAGATACCATTTTAGCATGCACTTTTACAAATGAGTTTCTAACTCACAAAAGTAATTATATACTTCCTTGGAGGGTTTATTCTGTATAAGTATTTATCATAAGGAATTTTTAAAATACAATAAGCTATATTCAAACAATGGAATGTCATTTTCCATTTCCACAAAAAAAACATTATGGATATGATAAACAGTTCGTAAGGAAGGAGAAAAATTTTATTCCAGTCAATGTAGTTTTGCTTAATCAACAAAAGCACACGTGAAAGACAAATTGGCTTATTCTTCCCTTTTCTAAGAGTATGCAGCTGATGAAAACCCCAATTGTAAGACTCTCTTCTGCTTTAATTTCAGTTGCAGAAACTGCAGACTGGACCACAGTGCTCTCAGTGGTTACAGGGATGCTTGTGGTTTTGGTTGTCCTTTTTGCACTGCTGCTTTTCCTTCAATATAGAAGACTTCGAAAAGGATATACACCCTTAATGGAGACACAGCTAAGCAACAAAAGATACACCGAAGAAGCCTAGATGCTCACGCCTTGCTCTAGTGAACAGGCTGACCAAGCCTTAGTTCTGACTGACAACCTGCAAGTGAATCCTCACTGCTCTTCCTTTCGTTGAAGAGCTTTGGCATAGCCCCTTCTGTTATGGTGATGATCCCAAGTATGGAAGATGCTTCACTCTAGTTTCTGGTTTGCTTGTTTATTTAACAAACAAGCTAAAGTGCTTGAGGGTATCTCTACCATCAAACAAAGGTAGAGCTGATGACAACTGGTGGTATCTGATAATAACTCCCCATACTGATTGATTAAGCCTCCTCGTGTTCTGACCCCCCAAAATCGATGAGTGGACTCACTGAAATATGCAGATCAGTGAAATTTGAGAACTGGACCAGATCATGGTTACATCTTTCTTAACTCACATGTCTTCCTTTGTAAAGGGGGGCAGAAAGGTGGCAGGTGCTACATGAGTCTCCAAGGTCTCTTTTAGGCGTAAAACATCTATGTTTTTAGGTGGCTTCCTGATCATTTTCCTGAGGCTTCTTTTTTCTTCTTTTCTCTTCTTTCCAGTCTTTAAAATGGCTTTGAAGATGAAAATAGGCCTTATTTTCCATGTGGGAAGAAGAATGAATGAATGAATGATCAGTTTGGTTCTCTTTTATAAATTAGATGTTACAGAGTTTATAAAGGGTCTGCAGTTCTTAACAGCAGAGCTCTCACAAGAATCAATAGCTGAACAAACATTGATCCTATAGTGGTAAGTGAACAGATGAGGATTAAATTAGTTTAAATTAATCTAGTTGATTAATATACTGTTTTGAACTTATTAATGAGTACATAATCACTCTTTTCAGGAAAGTTTGACTGCGGAAGGCTGGTGAGACTGTAAGCCTGAACAGGAAACAATTTGATTAGCATTCCATTGCCCTGAAGTCTCATTTGGCTGAAAGTGAAAGTCGCTCAGTCGTGTCTGACTTTATGCGACCCCATGGACTATATAGTCCATGGAATCCTCCAGGCCAGAATACTGGAGTGGGTAGCCTTTCCCTTCCCCAGGGGATCTTCCCAACCCAGGGATCAAACCCAGGTCTCTCACATTGCAGGCAGACTCTTTACCAGCTGAGCCACGACCCCAAACCAGTTCCTTTGCTGGGTAACGTCAGATGAAAAATTGTTCAAGCACTTGACTTATTTTAAAGAGTTGACTTTAAATTCATTAATGCTGCACTGTACTAATGGTTACTTACAAATGCTAATTGGTTAAGTCTTATCATTTAAAAGTGAACCATCCATACAAAATGTAACAATTCAGAATTAAATGGTTAAGATACACTAAGTAATCATCAGGTTATGAGAGATAAGAATGAGGCAATCTTTAGGAAGATGTTTAGACTCACCAAGATGATCCCCACCTCTGAGACATTAATGGCTCTTGAGATTTTTAAGGCAATTTTTAAGGCATTTTTAAGGCAATTTTATCTGGTACCCATGAAGTAGGAGTGGAACCATAGGAGTGGCCCTTCTGTCCACTCATTTCACCTCCTCTCTACTGGAATGGATGTGTGTGAACGGGATTAAGAAGTCTCTGTAGCCTTCTCCACATGGGAGCTCTAGAAGGTGCAAGGTTCACCAAGACCCTGTGTTATCCCCTGGAATAAGACTTCACAGAAGTGAGAGAAAAGGACAAAGCTCAGTCTGAACTGAATGAAGTTGAGTGGGTCTCATAAAGTATATCTGACAGTAGGCTCAGCAGGTGAGAATTAAGACAGCCCAGGCTCCTGAATGGGGTGAAACCTTGCCTGGACCTCTAACCAGTGCCGCATGCATAGATCTCAATGCCTCCCTTTAACAGAGTTCATGGAAAACTCATCAATGAGTTATTAACATGATCCACTCTGGAAAGTTGATGCTCTGACCTCAGAGTTGTTGGGGGACTAATTTTTACATCCTGTTTGTAAACCAAAAGAGAAATATGTTAAGATGAAGATATAAATGTGCATGGTAGGTACATTCCTGAAAAGTTGTGTATAAATCAATTATACATTAAAAGCACCAGGGGAAATTACTTTTTATGGATGAACTATTATGAATAATTCTATAAAGCACATAACCACCTCTAGCTTATCCTTCCAGTATATCAGAATTTTCATACATCATCTTCTCATAAGATTTGTTTAAAAGCAAGATCTATCTGCAGTAGAAATAAAGACTAACCACTTATACTTAGGTCCTTTTAATTATAGTGTGTGCAACTTTTCATAAATATTATGTTTTATGATGCCTTCCTAAGAGGAATAATTTCCTAATTTTGTAGTTCATATTACAAGAGTAAAATTTTCTAGCATTTTCTAACATTACAATAAATCAATGATGACTGCCTTTCAGCAAATCTAAAGGGAGAATAAACCTATAGAGTAAAAAGTTGCTATTTACTTGCAGTGAATACTATGCAAATGAACTTAGAAAATATCACTAAGCATTTTATGGCTATACATCTCAATGATGGGGGGAAAAATTCAACCTTGAAGAAAATGAATAGATTGGTTTATATGCTTCTCTCCGCAGTATAAGAAAACTTGTATGTATACGAATTATGATGTTAAAAGAAATGCTTTTTTGAAGCTAACATTCAAAAGTGAAATCCAATAACATCTTTCCTTTGTGAATTAAATTCTCTTCTAATTCTAAAATTAATTGACATAAATTTGTGATTTTCTTAGGATTTAACATTATTAATTATAATAATCCTAGTGAAAAATTCTAATCTCACAATAAGAAGTAGAAAACTATTAAAAAGGAAAATAAAAATAAATGTTTTGCAGATTATTGTCTGTCTGTTGGCGGCTGTTGCTTTTTAATTTGTGAACATCAACTCACATCTTTTTGGCACTCAATATATACATAAGATTTTAGGTATATACATAGAATACATGAGTAACTACTTCACTTTGGAAAATAAGTCCTTAAACTTGGAGGGTATTATGCTAAGTGAAATAAATCATGCAGAGAAAGACAAATACTGTATGATTTCACTTACATGTGGAAATATATATATTCATTTATAGTGAAAGTAACACAAAAGGAAGACTCACAGATATTAAGAACAGACTAGTCACCAGTGGGAGAGGGAAAGAGGGAGAGATAGTATAGGGGTGGTGATTAAGAGGTGCAAACTATCAGGTATAAAATAAGCTACCAGGCTATACTGTACAGCACAAGGAATATAGCCAGTATTTTATAATACCTATAAATGGAGCATAATAATCCAGTATAATTCTGAATCACTATATTGTATACTTGTAACTTATATGATATTACATGTCAATTATACTTCAGTTTAAAAACGAAGAAAAGAAGTCTTTAAATAAACTGATGTTTCTACTTTCTATTGAGTTTCTAAGCAGCTCCTACTTCCTAGCTCTCCATTTTACAAGCAGGAAAATGAGCTACTACCCTTTTCCCCAGGTAAAGAGTTACCTCTGATGTCCCTATAGGCTAAAGAGTGATATTGGAGCGGGAGGTGAGCAGGGAGGCCACTTGCAGTCATTGCCCAGGGAGGCAGGCTCCTTCCAGAGAGGCTATTAGCTCAGCCGACTCGTTGGAAACGCCCAGAAGAAGGAAACTAGTAGAGCCAACGAGGTCACGCTGCCATGGTGTTCACTTCTACTTCTAGACCGGAAGCTTCTAGAGGTCAGATTGTACAGCTCTCCAGACAGCTCCAATGCTATTGTATCAAAGCACCTTAAGTACTTAGGAAATGTTTGTGTGCATCTGTGCTGAGTCGCTTCAGTCATGTCCTACTCTTTGCGACCCCGCTGACTGCGGCCTGTAGGCTCCTCTGTCCATGGACTTCTCCAGGCAAGTATTCTGGAGTGGGTTGCCCTGCCCTCCTCCAGGGGATCTTCCCAGCCCAGGGATCAAACCCAGGTCTCCTGAATTGCAAGCGAATTCTTTACCAAGCCACCAGGGAAGCCCATGCTCATATGAGTACTCTGTAAATATTTTTTGAATGAATAAACTAGTCTTAAAGTAAAACTTTTCATTCAGGTCTTCTGGCCTGTGTTTGATCATGTACTGGATAAAACATAAGATAATAGGGTCATGTATCCTTGTCGTGAAATGAATAGCAGCCTATCTTTCAGATTGTGAGTTGTACATCTGCCAGATAGAATTTCACTCCATACAACCTAGTACAGGGGGACTAGGTTTTCAGCTGCATTTTCTTCTTGGGTGTGCCTTTTCTTCACTATTTGTTGTTGTTTAGTCACATAGTTGTGTCCAACTCTTTTGAGACCCCATGGACTGTAGCCCACCAGGTTCCTCTGTCCATGGAATTCTCTAGGCAAGAATACTAGAGTGGGTAGCCATTTCCTTCTCCAAGGGATCTTCCTGACCCAGGGATCAAACTTGGGTCTCCTGCATTGCAGGAAGATTATTTACCATCTGAGCCTCCAGGGAAGCCCTCCCCACTACTGGTAGGCCTTAATTCTACCATTTATACGGACAAGGGTGGAAAGTGTAGACCTCACCATCTCATTATTCCATCCTCTGATTTCTTAAGAGCCTTGTTTCTGCAGAAGGAGTTAGTGGGCAAAATGCTTAGCTAGGCAAAATCAGTGCCTTTCTTACATGGGCGGACCCATTGGGAAGTTAAAGAATCTCTCAAAGATGACATGATACTTTAATTATAATGGCAGTTCAAGATGAAAATAGCTCCTGTGAATTTAATTATGCTTTGGCAGGTAGTTTAATGAAATCTTGAGAAAAAACACACAAGAAAATTGTGAGCAGTAAAATAAAATCTTTGAAAACAAAACAAACAAAAACACAAGCTTCCCATTCAAGGACTGAATATGTTGTATGTTATCACTAACAGTATTTTTATTAGGCAGAAACCATTAGCTATCTGGCAACTTCCCAAGTGGTGCTAGTGGTAAAGAATCCACCTGTCAGTGCAGGAGACACAGAAGACCCCTAGGTCAAGAAGACCCTCTAGAGTAGGAAATGGCACCACCCTCCAATATTCTT